AAGACTTTACACCCCGAAGCCTAGGCCCTGCGAGGCTCCTGAAGCCCACTCAGGGGTCATCAGCAGTGCCTTCTTGCTGCCGTCCTTGCCCAAGGGTTAGGTTTCGGGGGGTGTAGGAAGAAGTATGATCGGAACATCAGAAGCATGATGCCAAGAGTGCTGTCTCGTGATCCTGATCTGGTCGTACGTTCCAGACCCATTACAAGCATCTTTGCTTCAAGTCTATCTCTGTGATTGAAACCGCTGCGGGCACCACTGCTTTCGCTCTGCTTGCAGCCAAGACGCAACCAAGAGTGCTTGTCTCTGTGTCGGGCTTTCAACGTGCTTTCGACCTCGCCGGCCATGGCGGTCCAGCTTGGGAAGCCCTGTGGCACTGAGGCCCCGGGCCCTGAACCGCAGAGAGGGTTCTACTTCTAATGGGTGGTTCGATCTATACTTATATCTGGGATAGGTGATTTCTAGTGGTCACAGCACAAAGCACATGAAATAAATGTGAGCAGCTATACCAAAAGAACTAAGCTCGCGTTTCGCTTGTTTTGAATATTTTAATTTGTTCTGTTGCCTTATGACTCTAGGTTCTGTTCACCACCGGTCACGACTCATTACGTTAGCTTCTGGACGGTTATGTTTCTTTTTTGTCCTTTGTTTCCTTTGTTACAATTGAATCAATGAAAGGAAAGCCTGAACAAAGTGAAACAAAGGACAAAATAACCCAATCTCAACGTAAACTGAACACATCTCAGCTATCTTCTCGCGCTACAGCTACAACTGGACTCATCAAGTAAACCCAAGTACAGGATATGAAGAGAGAAAAGAACCAAGTTTTTCCAATAAGGGTTTAGGGTTTAGGGTTCCTATAAGGTTTACTCTAAGGGTTCCTTTAGGGGTTTAGGGTTTAGGAGTTTAGGGTTTAGGGTTTAGGAGTTTAGTGTTGCTCTAAGGACTCCTTTGGGGGTCGGGGGGTTGCTTTTTATGGAGGATCAGGGTTGTGGGGATTTGTGGTTGTTTAGGGTTTAGGGTTTAGGGTTTAGGGTTTAGGGTTTAGGGTTTAGGGTTTAGGGTTTAGGGTTTAATCTCAAGACGATGTCCACCAACCAGGGGTGTGCAGTGGTGCGCCTGCTGTAAATTTGTGTCCGCCTGCAGTGAATGCTTCGAGTGCAGCTTCCAGTATGCCAGTTCGTACGACTTCGGCTCCAAAGACTCTGTTGGATACTATGATCGCTTTCTGTGTCTCCGATGGCTGTGGTGGTGAAGTGCAGGGGACAGGGTCGGATGGATCGGATGTGGTTTGAAGGCAGCTAGGGTAGTCAGCAAGCTCCTTCGAAGTTGTGAGCATCAGAGCTTGTGTCGAGTCGAGTGCTGGGTGAGTCCAAGATAAGACTTACAAGCCTGCCTCCCGTAGGCTCTCCGACTCCTTGCAAGACGGGAAAAAGCCCTCAAATAAAACATCTTAACACCTAAACCCTGGACCTCACAAATCATCTAGAACATTTCTTCGCCCAAAGGCCAGGCTTGTCCCAGTTTCGGGTTCAGGGTTTTTGAAATTTATCATTGCTATGATGGCTGCAATTATTAGTATTATCATCCTTCTTATTTCATTAACAAAAAATCATCACTGCCATTATTTGTAATACATTCGGTATTTTATTATCATTATTGATTAACCATAATAAGCATCGTGTCTTTCTTCATCGCTGTCATCGATGGTATCAATGATTAGTATGTTCATTCTTATATTGTTGTTACTGTTAGTTTTGAAACGTTTGTTATTATTATTATTGTTGCTGTTACCGTTGTTACCCCAACCCTAAACTCCTTCACGCGCACACTTCAAACTTCATAAACATTGAATCCGCTAAATAGCTGATTGTTGCTTCCTCTGTTTTTGGCAGGTGGGTGGGTCAGGCTCTGAGGGTTTGGGCTTGGGGCTTTAAGGCTTAAGGGGTGTAGTGTGGTGTTTGAGGCAGACTTAGCTGTGAGGTTGCCAAGGGGTGCAAGGGTTCAGGGTTCTGAGTACGACCCAATGTTGCTGAGTTCGGGCAGTTTTGGAGTTATGCTGTAAGGCCCTGCAGATTATGGGGCCTCTAAAGTATCAGACCTGCAGTTCCTTTCGGTCCATTTGTCAGGACCGTCTTCCGACCGTGCTGGTGACCATGACTACAGTGATTGATAGGACTAGCCAACCCAACAAGCATACCGAATCAACGAGACGAATGACCTCCTCAAGAGGGCAAGCTGCTGGAGCCTAAACTTTACGCCGAAACCGGGAAGCACTGAATCTTGCAGGCGACTTCGTGGCGCGGGGCCCCAGGAAGGCACAGGAACTCATTGGACCTTCGTGATTAGACATTTAGGGTAATTTCTTCAGTGTGGAAATGTTACAGTACAATCGCCACCTAGAGATGCAATATCATCCTAAACCCTAAACCCTAAACCCTATGGTTACCTTATTTCTATTGAGTTGTCCCGACCCCCCCATGGCAGTCTGGGCTTCGCTGCCGAATGTTTTTAGAATGAGTTTTGAGGAACTAGCGGTGAGGGCTAGCGGAGCTTGGGGTTTAAGATCGGACTTCGGGATGATTGGGGGGCCTTTCAGAGTTTAGGGTTTAGGGTTTGAGGTTTATAGGGCTTTCAAAGTTTAGGTTTAGGGCGTACCTAAGCGTAGCAGATGCCTGGGGTGGAGATTGGATCTGCAAAGCCACGACCTTTCGCTTCCGGCCAGCGTCCGCCGAGGCCACGCAGAACGGCACGGGAAGAAAAGGACTGCCAGTTGCCAGGGGATGCACCCTACGCCTCCGCGCCTTCTGAGGGTTCAGGGTTTTGGAGTCGCAGGTTCGTTCAGTGCCGGGGAAACAGGGTTCAAGGTGTTACCTTTCAGAGTTTGTTTTTGTTTTTTACTGCTTTCAGGGTGCGCCGCTTTCGTAAATTTTCGAGGGTCCTAAATCAGCAGCCCAGCTCGTCCGAACCTAAACCTTGTTCCTCATCCGAAACCCTCGACTGTATGCTCTAGGCGCTTGGACATGGGGCCTGCCTTAAACCGTACACTCCCAACAAGCCCGAGTTCCTACACCATCAACCAAACCTTAAACCGTAGACTCTACACCACAAACTCAACCCTCAGACCTAACCTTAATCCCTAAACTCAAACCTAGGCTTTAAAAAAACTAAACAAAACCCTCATCCTCCACCTTAAGCCCTGAGCTCAAACCTGGACTTTATACCCTAAAACCCGAAACTCAAACCTAGACTTTAAGCCCTGGAGCCTAAACTCAAGCCCTAAAGTCCCACAGCACTAAAAAAGAAAAACTCAAGCCCTAAACCCAGTGAACCGCAGAGGAGTCCCACCGCAAGCACTGCGCCGAGCGGCGGCGCGCGTTGGCAGCCGCGGAGTCTGCAGGAGGCGGTTTCGGGGGTTTGGGGGTGGAATTATTGTGTCGGGGTTTAGGGTTTTGCTTTTGGGGCCTTTGAACTTGGGATCATTTGTCTAGTTTTGGAGTCCAGATGAACTGATATGATATGAGCCTAAAGCCTCTGAAGCCTGTATCCTACAGCGGCCCCTAAGCCCTAAACCCTAAACAGGCTCTGCTGCTTCACTGCAGACTCGGATTCAGCAGCGCCAGCTGGCCATGCAGGCACTCAGGGGTGGCTCCTCGGAGTGGGAGGTGTTACGGATATAGATTCCTATAGGACCTAAACCCTAAACCAAAAAACCTAAGCCCTAAACCCTAAACCCTAAACCCTAAGCCCTAAACCCTAAACCCTAAACCAAGCCAAATCCTTGTTTTCATGTCGTCGTGAGGTTTTGAGGAGTTTCGCCAATTTGTGGAATCGGCCCAGCGCAAGCATCGAGAAACCTCGGTGGTTGTCCTACGCTAAACCCTAAACCCCTAAACCCCTCAACCCTACACCCCTAAAGCCCTAAACCCCTAAACCCCTCAACCCCTACTGAACCCCTAAACCCCTGAACCCCTAAACCCCTAAACCCCTAAACCCCTCAACCCCTAAACCCCTAAACCCCTCAACCCCTCAACCCCAAATCCCCTAAATCCCTAAACCCTGAACCCCAAGACCGGTTTTCGGAGTCGATGCACCCATCCATGCCACGTCTTCTCCGTAGGAGGCGGAGCGGACACAGGTGGACGAGGCGGCATTGCAGGGCTTAAGGGTTTTAGGGATTCGGGGGTTTAGGTGGTTTTTTTGGGGTTCGGCGTTGCAGGGTTCAGGGTGTAAAGATTTTAGGGATTCGGGGTTTCGATTTCACGATACGCGGCCTTGAGTTTATGTGCCAGGATTCGAGATTGCCCGAGGTAAATCATGAAGCATCGTTTGGTGTACGTAGTTGTTCAGGGTTCGGGTTCTGTAGTTTGGGTTTCGTTTCGGCCCGACATTCTGGATATGATGGCTAGTCTCTCCTCGTGCCGTCAGTCAATTCGTGCAAATCGGACGCTTATGCTTGGACTATAATTGCAATGCTGTTCGCACGAGAGCAGAACTCTGCGCCTCTGCCTGTGAACCTTTTAATTATCCGGTTAGGACGGTATCATTTGGGGAGTTCGCCGAGGGTGGTTGGCAGAAGGGTGGTTACACCCGATGTGTTGGTTCGCAGTCTACACCGTGCCCCGAGCGATACCTTTGTTCGTTCTCTCTGTCGCCTTCACGATTCTTCTGGTGCGGCTCGATGGTGAAACTGCGAAGCAATTCAGACCCGCGAATCGCGGGCCTGGGTTGCTTCGAAGCTTGATCTTATGTAACACAAAATCTCCGAAGGCGCAACCCTGCGCTCCGAACTCTAAACCCGACACCCCTGCGCAAGCCCCGAAAGCAAGATGAAACTCCGTGAAACCTCAAAGCCTTGGCTACACCCTGAAACCTCAACCCTACAGTCCTTGTGTCCCTGAACCCCTGAACTCTAAACCCTGAACCCTCGTCCCTAAATCTCACAAACCGCTTTATCCCCAAACCCTAAAGCTGAAGCGCTAAGATTTCCTTGTCCTTTCGAGGCCACGGCATTTCCGAACCCACGAACTCCGGAGTTCGGGGAGGAGCGGACGGACATTGCAGGGTTCAGAGATGTTGAAGAGCTGATCTACAACGATTCTTCTGTTCTTGCTCTAAGGGCCCGATCTTTAGGATACCCCTTATTAAGGAATGGGACCGTAAGCCTTTATTAAGGAATGGTGTGTTGATGAAATAGGGTTCCTTATTATACCCACCATCATCGCGTTCGCGTTATAACTATACTATAAAGGAGCCCAAAAACCCTCTTCTAATTGTTAAGGCCCCTATATTCTGGAGCTTTCGTCCGGCCTGCGCCTCCTGTAGGCGCCACGACACGACAGCCCAGAGCGAGAAGGACGCATTTAGAATCCTCCCACTAGGTTTTTCTAGAAAGCACCTAATAAAAACCTAGTTTTTCTAGAACCAACTAAGGAGATGAATGAAATTGTCATGTTCAATGCAGATGTCCTCTGGTGGTCTTTCTACCCTAAACCCTGAACTCAATCACGAGCAAGCTTCATGCGGAGAAAGGGGCTAGTGCACTTCTTTTATAACCTAAACGCTGAACCCTAAACCTAAACCCTGAACCCGAAACCCCTAAACGGCTCAAGCTTTCGACTCAAGCCGCTTGGGCTTAGCTTAGCTATTTGCTCTCTTGCCAAGCACATCTTGCTCGTCGTCGATCTCGCCATGGCACGCTCAACCTTCGCCTTGGCGGTGGTGGTGCTGATGCTTCCAGCAACGGCGCGCCGGAACAAGGATGACCTCTTCACCATGGAAGCCGGGAATTCAAAAGCTGGTGATCTACAGGCGGAGATTGAGTCTTGGCTCAGCGACATGTGGAGCGTGGGGCTGAGCTTCTCGGAAGCTCAGTGGTGGGCCAGGAAGGAGTCGTGGTACATGGAGACTTGCGGCGCCACGCTCCCGTATCTCAAGAAGCTGTACTCGGTGCTCAACTTCAAGATGTCCTACTCCGAGAGCATAGCCGTGGAGTTGATGTTCGAGTACGCGAAGAAGCAGCTTGATCCAGACCAGCTCTTCGCAATGTACAGCGTTCTCTCGGACCGCTTCAAGCTCGGGCTTACCAAGGAGTCCCGTTCGCGAGCCCCAGAGCTTCTCGAGAAGGATGCGGCCTCCGCGGAGCTCGCCGATCTCTACAGCATCATGGTCGATCGCTTGGGGATGCGGCCTTCGGAGGCCCAGAAGACCGCCATGACGGTGGCTGCTGCCGGCTGTGAAGCTGACAAGTTCAGGGAGTTCTACAATCGCCTTCGTGACAGGCAGAGGGCCACCGATGAGGCAGTGATGGCCTCCTTCGAGATGCAAGCCTATCGCTATGCAGAGGATGGCAAGTACTACACGGCTTCCCAGTTCAAGGACTACTTTGGGTACAACTGGATGGCGAAGTGGATGGCAAGCCCAGTCGCACAGAAGGTGGCGGAAGATGGCAGGGCGTACTCTGCTTCGCAGTTCCATGAGTTCTTCAAGTTCGGGTGGTTGACCAAGTGGAATGCAGCAAAGTGGGCAACGCAAAGGCGCATTGCGGAGGATGGAAAGGTCTACACCTTGGACGAGTTTGTGAGCTACTTCAAGTCCGAGTGGCAGCAAAAGTGGGCCAAGGCACCGGTGGCACTCTGCAGAGAGTGCCGCCCCTGACCAGGGGGTGCCTACAGTGATGGACCCAGGAAGGGATGAGGCTTTCACAAGGGACAGGGATAAGGCTGAGTGAAAGACGAGGAAGCCCTTGTCTGAGTGACTTTGCTGGAGTTCGCAGGTGATGCAAAGCTGTCTGCCTAAGTAGCCTCTCCGACTTCTTGCAAGACGGAAAAAGGCCCTCAAAAAGAAAAAACTTCGCGAAACCCCAAACCCTAAATCCCAAGCTCCTCAGCCCCTTGTGGACGGCCGGAGGCAGCGACTTCACCGCGGTCGCCCGTCGCTTCGGGTGGCGCCGAAGAGAGGCCGGCCTTTTTCTCAGCAGAAAAGTATAGAGGGTTTAGGCCCAGTTTAGGGTTTAGGGTTAAGTAGAACATGGTGTAAAGGTTTAGGGTTAAGAAAAACATGGTGTATTATAACAGGGTGGAATATAGTATAATATAGTATAACATAGTATATTATAGCATAGTAATAGGCACAAAATAGTAGACTCTAGTAGAGGATGAGATAGAACATGGTATCATATAGTATAATATCGTATAATCTAGTATAGTATTAGCTATAACACGGTATCATCTAGTATAATATAGTAGAAGCTGGTATAGTACTAGACATGGCATAACATGGCATAAGGTACGTAGTATAACATACTGTAACATAACAAAATGTAATATATAACATAACATCGTGTCAGGGTTCGGGCTTCAAGGTGCTAACAAGGCAGCAACCATCGCAGAAGACAGAGCTTACGGCTTTGGTCCCCTCCATGTGTCAGGCGGAGAAAGAGCCGCCGGATTACCTTTAGTGTGCGGCACCTGGAGATCTGAAAGCATGTGTACAGGTGTGGTGATCAAAGTGTTGCAGTCGCCATGGTCAGCCGTCATGGTCCTCCTTTTCCTCCCTTGTCAACCCTTACCAGCATCATCATTACCGCCGTCATTATTCATGGCTCGCAAAAACCGTCACCACCGTGCAAGTCTACCATATCCAGAGTTCTTGTTAGCGGTGCATCCTCCTGCCATACCCCGATCGCAACATTCACCAGCATGCATCTACACTGAATCTACACCGTAGCCAAAAGTCGTGAAGCCAAACCCCAAACCCCCAATGCTTTAATGTCTAGCTTCTTATCTTTTGCACAGGGCGCTGAGCCCTGAGCTCTAAACCCTCACGTTAGAAAACAATAACTAGGCCCAAATGCTAAAGGAAGCACTGACTAGACTTTACATCCTATAGGTCCTGAGCCCTAAACCTCCTTAACTTCAAGCTTCAAGTCCTGAGACTAAGGCCATGAACAACGCGCTCGACGAGCTCGGCCCGGAGCAACCTGAACCGAGCCGAGACGCGAGCATCCAGGCTGCGCAGGCGGAACGGAGCAGAGGATAGGTGTTGCTAATATAAAGGCCTTAATCATTACCTATACTATTTTGGGGGTTCCTTATTATGATTATAGCATAATATATCCCAAAACCCTATTCTAATTATTAAGGCCCCTACATGATGGTGTTGTGTTAGCGCTGGTACTTAGAAATTTGCATTGACATTTCTCGCACAGGTTTTTAGTGCATGTATGTATGGTACCATATGGTCTGCTTATTGTATTTCCGTATCATTGTCGTGTTCTTGCATACATCAAAAACATTTCTGAAGCAAGCCTTGGGCCTGGGCATGCCTCCGCTCCGAGGACACGATTGCATTGATGGCCTTCATTCGGGCTATTGGGGCTCAGGGCCTCCGAGGGTTGTAGGGTTTAGGGTGTAGGGTGTAGGGTTTCAAGCTTAGGGTTATTTCAGGTCTGGTCCAGGCTTGAAGGGGGGTTTTGCGCCCCTTCTGCGCAGAGCCGAAGAGACTTAATGTTTACGCCCGGGTGCGAAAATGCAGCGGTCTTGGAGGCGGGCTTCGAAGCAGCGATGGGGGCTCATGGCAACATGCAATCATTCCATTTAATTTCATTGGCTGTTCCTGAACTCGGGTGAAAACTTCGTCTCTGGGCATGCCGTCTTATATTCAGAGACCAATTAAGCCCTAACTTTAAACCTCTATCCTAAACCCTAAACCCTAACTCTAAACCTCTGCTTGAAATGCAAAGACTTCTACAATAAATCTATAGAAGCCCTCGCTGTTTGAGCAACCAATCGGCCAGGAGCTGGTCCGAGCCATGTTCAGCGTTCCGGCTGTGGACACTGGGAGCCCTTCCTGGGCTTGCGAGCTTCTTGCAGTCGTCCAATAAGTGTCGTGGGACATGGGGTTTTGACTTGAGCCGGACTTCTTTTTGCAGACAGCCCCGGATGCATTCGGGCATTCAGCCCTGAATCCTAATTCCTAAACCCTGGTTATTGTATTACGTCAATTGCCTGAGAGATGTCCCAATGTTGTCAGGAGGAGAGTTACGCAAGGCTCTTCGGGATTGTATGGTAACCCCAAGGAGTAAGGACTCTTATACCGGGTCGTTATACATCCCCATTTGGAGTTGGATGGTGGAGTTGCAGTGTGAAGGCTTGTAGCTGGTATCAATGAGCCGACACTGTTGCAGTAAGCCTCCCTAGGCCTCGGTTGACGCGACAGTATCAGGTTTCAATTGTTCATGAGTTCGGACGTCATGAATCAAGGCTTGCTGCTAGCATCTGAGCATTCAGGGTACCTGCACAGAGGAGCTACCGCGGTGCCAAACGCGGGGCCGATGGCCGGAAGCGGAGCTCCGTAGGGAAGGAGGCTCCAACAGTATGCACGCTTGAGGTTTTAGGGTTTAGGGCTTAGGGTTTAGGGTTTATTGTCGGCTGTTCCTCGCTCTCGATGCTGCTTTCATCGTGTCTCGATGGATCTCGCCGTGGCTCTTGCTTCCGCACGGCAGGTCGTCGGAAAGTAATCTTGGCTTGTCCTCAGGACATTCGCAGATTTCCGCATGGTGCTCCGCATGTGTGACTGTGCGGCATGTGAAGCTTTGTTGCAGGTTTCGGCGCCTTTGAGCAGCTACTCAGCCACACCGAAGTGCCTGAAGCCCCTACACCCTAGATCGAAACCTAAGCCCAAACCCCGAGCCGAAAACCTGGAACCCGAAACCCCAAACCACGGAATCCTAGGTCATGCCCCTTTAAGATCCTCCTGCGCGACAGACAGGCCATGCTCGAGAAGGCCAAGCTTCTAGTCTCGGACACATCGGTGAACGATGACGCGCAGGCGCGGAAACCGTGATATTGATATATGTATGTATATACACTATAGATAGATAGACAGATAGATAAGTAGGTAGGTAGATAGATAGATAGACCGACAGATAGATGGACAGATAGATAGATCGATCGAGAAGGAAAGAGGCCTGAATAGTTACAAATATTATGCATGCGGTTCCTTGATCAGATACAGTACCCCGCAAACCCAGATCCGATTCAAAACGCCCCTGTGTCCGAGGCCTGAATAATTACACTCGGGTTGTGTGGCTTTATCTAGGCTAGATCTGCAGCGAACTTCACAGTATGCCGGTGCGGTAGTCATGCCCCCTAAGCCCTATACATGCTGTAAACCTTTACCGAACGATACAGGGCCTAACCCTAAACTCCTAAACCCCGCGCTCAACGTCCGAAGGATTTGCTCAGATCTTGCCCCTCCGAAACCCATGTCTTTACCAGGAGTTTCAACTTCGAACAGAACCCTGGAGCCCTACATATATCTTTATGAATGCCCAATGCCACCTTACTTAAAAGTACGTGCCCGAAGACCCCATCAGCGTGTCGAGCCCGCAAAGAGCCCCATTGGGGCCTACCAGACTCTCCAAAAGCTGCACGAGCCTGTGTGTTCCTGAGGCCCCAAACCCTAAACCCTAAGCCCCAAGCCTTAAACCCAAAACCCTAAGCCTTAAGCCCTAAGCCCTAAACCCTAAGCCAAGCCCTAAACCCCATAAACCCTAAACCATGAGTCTTCAAAACTACCCGTGCCCGAAGCCCTCAACCTAAACTCTGGTTATCTCGCCTCCTCTTTTGAGTCCCGCAACCGTTGCCAAACAAACATATCCCCTCAAAGTTCCTCTTTTTCTCCCTCTAGTATTGCTGTACAAACCCTCTTCTAAGGCTTAAGGCCCCTGTACGTGTGCTGTAACTTAACAGCGGTGCTCCGCCAGCCCTAAACCCTAAACCCTAAACCCTAAACCTAAGCCCTAAACCCTAAACCCTAAACGCCAAACCCCAAACCCCTAAACCCCTAAAGCCCTAAACCCCTAAACCCCTAAACCCTAAACCCAGGACAGCCGGAGAGCTTCGCTTGCGGACGAGCTGCCTTTGCTGGCCACCCCGGGGAGGCCCAGGGAGCTTCAGTTGAAAGAAACCCGGGGGTTTGGGAGTCTGAGGGTTTAGGGTTTGAGGGTTTTAGGGTTTTGGGTTTTTGGGGTTTGGGGTTTTGGGCTTTGAGGGTTTTGAGGAGGGTTTGAGGGTTTTGGGCTTTAGGGTTTAGGGTTTTGGGGGCTTGAGGGTTTTGGGTTTTGGGGTTGCAAGTCCAAAGTAAGCTCGTCTACTGCGCCCCCATTTCTGGGTGCATAGCGCTCCAAGCCGGACTCGGTCTCTGAACTGAAGGGGTCAGGTCCTTCAGCTTACACGCCGCTGTCTGACAAGGATGCTGGTATCAGCTTTCTCCACGCATACCGGAAGAACCCTAAACCCTAAACCCTACATCCATCCAAAAGACCCTAAACAGAAGCCTTTAATCATGGCTCAATGAGACCTCCTGGGATGAGACCTTCAGCGCCAAGGCCTCCGTCCCAAAATCCTCGAGCTTTCCCTCCAAAAACCGGTCCTAGCCAGTCTCAACGCCTGCTTTGCAGGGCCCCCCCCAGTGCTTTGCAACAGTATTGTCTTGTAGTTCCTGTGTAATTAGATGCCATACTTCAAAACCCTATGAAGTGTTACTAAGCTCCCACCAAAATCATAGAACCCTTACAGATCCCTTATACTGTAGAACCCTGAAAGAGCCCATTCCAATTGTCAAGGCCCCCATTTCATCGTTAAAAGGCTTATAGATCCATTCTAGAACCCTTAAAGGGAGAAAAGGACCCCTTATTCTAATCCCTTTTGGCACCGCTTTTTTGCGCGCAGGTTCCGAGATCGCGATGGGCAGCGTGGCGTGTTCGAGGACCCTTGGTCTACGCTGGCGCCGCGAAAGAGCAGCTGCGAGTCCCAGCTGTCTCCACCTTTAGGGGTTTAGGGTTTAGGGTTAGGGTTTAGGGTTTAGGGTTTAGGTTTAGGGTTTAGGGTTTAGGGTTTAGGGTTTAGGGTTTAGGTTTAGGGTTTAGGGTTTAGTCCAAAAGCATAGGGAGCCCCTTCCAGGGTACCTTGGGTCGAGGGTTTAGGGTTTAGGGGTTTACATGACAGAACCTGTGGGAAAATGCGATTCTTGGCCCAACTTCTGTAGACGACGTTGGGATGAACTCCCATGCCCTGTACTATGCCCCGAGGATGGGCCTCAGCAATCCATGCCTTCACAGTTTCTTTACAATTTCAATGTAACGTACCTCGAATCCTATTCCGACATGATGCTCATAGATTCGTGACTCTATAAACCCTAAAACCCCTAAACCTTCAACCATAAACCCCCTATGCTCCCACCGCCCCGAACCCTAAAACCCCTAAACCCTGAACCCTAAACCCTAAAACCCCGAAGTCTAAGCGCAGTTGCCCAGGTCCCAGTCGCCGTCGCCTTCCGCCCCCTCCGTCCCAGCCGCCTCCGTAGGCACGACGGTAAGAACGAAGCAATTAGGTTTATCAATATTAATATTATTATTGTTGTTATTATTATTATATTATTATTTTATTATTATTTATTATTTTTTTTTTTTGGGGGGGGTTTAGGTTCCGTTTTAGTATAACTCTCATGAGGAGCCCCCCAAAAAAAAGCGAGGTTTGCAATTATTCCGTTCTGTGGCTTTGGAATTTCGGTGCGGATTTATGGGATAGCAAGGGTTGAGAGTTTGGAGTCTAAGGGCCGTGTGGGAAATTGATCTAGCTGCTTTTCGGCACCTTGGGCAGAGGAGGTTCGAGAGGCAGCCGAGATCTGACCAGGAGGGAGCGTTATCGGAAACCCTAAAGCCTAAACCCCTAAACCCCTATAAACCCTAAACCCGTAACCCTAAGCCCTAAACCCGAAAGGGATTGGGGCCCTAGGATTTCAATTTTTTGTCTCAGAGGCTTCGGTATACGCGGCTTCGAGTGACCTGCAGCTAGGGGTCTTCATCATTCAGAGCTAAATATGGGTGTCGACGTGATTGATGAGCAGTAGTATCAACGTACTGTTGATGATATAAATCCTGCATTACCGCAACGACCCTAAACTATGGGAATTATGGTATATTCCTTATTATGGGTAATGCAGGATTTTTATCATCAACCGTATTAATAATTATTGCACATATGGCTACGCATAAACCTGACTCTCATGTTTAAGGGCCCGATATTCTGCTTGCCATGTCAATGTCGCCTTCGTTCCTTCAGGCAAAGGAGGAGGTTTAGGGCTCAAGGCTTGGGGTTTTTGCTCTTCGTCTTTACGATTTGCGTTTTTTCGGGGTTGGCGATTCAGCGATGCAGTCGGCCCACGTCGGCACACAACGGACGGGCAAGTGAAAAGCACGTGAGGCAGTAGGCTACTACAGGGGTATAAAGGGGTTTGATTAATTACGAATCATCCCTTTATAGTCGCAATTAATTTATATATATTACCCATGTAGAGTTCCTGAAGTTATGCTCCCAAACCCTCACCTGCACAAGGCCAGGAGGCTCAAACACAGAGCCGTCACGATGGCGCTCGCAGGAGCACGAAGTCGCGAAAGCCTAAAACAGATGGATATGTGTCATCAGAATGAAACTGCATCACAAAGCGAACTTTTATTGAACGTTGAACACTTCCCTAACAAGATGCCTCAAACCCTCACCCACCAGCCCTAATCCATCCTAAGTTCCAAACGCTGGCAATCTCAGCCGCGCTGCCAGGCGCGCAGGCACAACATGGAGTGAGCAGGGCTCAGAGAGCCCAGTACCCCTCAGACAGTGAAGAATGAATGCACATTGACGTTTAGACTGCAGGAGACAGAAAGTATGGGAGATCCTTAAAGCCTTAAAGTAGAGAGGAGATCTTGCAAGCACGGGGAATCCTTTCAGCGATCCGGATCCCTTGGTGACCGGGGTGTCGGGCTCTCTGGGGGTCTCGCCGTTTCTACAGCCGAGCTGCCTAGGACGCCAGTTGCGCAAGTTGCGCCCATGCCCGGAACTGAACCCAAGAAAGCGTGAAGGAGCCAGGGAGTAGGGTTTACGGCAAGTTCACGGGTTAGGGTTTAGGAAGTTATATGAAGTAGGATTCGAGTCGGTCAGGTATCTGGTGAGCGTATACTTTGGGTTTATTACGACTTGCAAGAAAGGTCTACATCATGTCAGTTGGAGCTTTTGAGAATACGGAACCCTAGGTACTGTAGATCCAGAACAGTACGATTCGTGTTACTGACTCCCGAAGATGGCAGTGCCTAGAAACTCGCGTTTCTCAGAGGGTACAGGACGAGAGTTCTCAGCCTCACCAGCACCCCCCTAGCAATTTTCCAAGATTTCCAACGGGCTCTGTCTGAATCATCCCCACAGCTTCTGTTTGGTGCTGCTGGCTGTGCTCCCTGCCGGGAGCAGCAGGAAGAGGGCTCCGAAGACAATGCAGTATAAGTAGGCGAAGCCCTTGTCGGAGCCTTGAACTTGACTCAGCGGCACTGTGAGGTTTTTCGAGGGCCTGTTACCAAAAAGCTTAATAAGAAGCTTACAAGGTTATATGCCGCTCCAGTCAAGTTTTGGGTGCGCAGGCACTTTCAAAACGACGTTCAGTGGCTTGTCTGTTTCCTGTCAAAACTGCGGCCGATGATCAGAGGCCGGGGCAAGAGGGAGCGAGGGTCGCCCTCAGTGAACAGACAAGCGCCACTCGGCCAATGTCTCAAGTCGACGCATTGCTCTGCCCCTCAGCGACGCCTGGACACCTAGAAAGCTGCCCAAGTGATTCGGTCCCCAGGCTGTTACTGTTTCTTCTGGTTGCTGAAGGCGCAACAGGAACGCCAGCATGGAATAGCCATGCCGAGTCTCAGAGCAGCTCCTGCAATGCACGTGGTCGAATGCCAACCCCGCAGAGCTCGACAAAAGGCCCGTGAGTTTATCAGGAGAGGTGCCTTCAGTCTGCATTGAGCTTATCTGCTGCCGTTGTTCATCGGAGTCTACTTGGAGGCCCAGGGGACTTAGTAAGTGGGTTATAAGTAGAGTTATAAGTACCCTAAATGGAGTTACCCTAATTATAGCCCTACTTATGACCGACTTACTAAGTCCCCTGGGCCTCCAAGTATTCTGTGCCCTTGTTTGCCGAGGTAAGGAGCTGGCTTCGGAAGGGAAGCTAGTGAGCCTCCACGGCGGTGGAGAGGTGCTGTCAGAGATGCGAGTAGTATAGGGGCCTAAATAATTACCTATACCATTTTGGGGGTTCCATATTATAAGTTATAATATGCCCCCAAACCCTCTTCTGAAAAAAAAGGCCCCTACATTAAGCACATCATCCACATGGACCATTCCTGGGTCACCAACGTCAGGACTCCCAGCAGCACAGTTCAATGTACGCCATATGGGTAGTTCTCTAAATTAGGGTCCGTTTTGAGGTGCCCCAGAATAGTACGGCAGCCTGGTAGAAGGACCCTAAAAGGGACCCTATCTTGGAGAACTACCCATATCCTTTTTCCGTCTCTTCCTGACAGGCGGACATCCCGCTACTTCCAGCCCCAGTGACGGTTGAGCCCAGGAGGCGGGCGCTTCTTCATGCTGGGCTTGGGTTTCTCATCTCCGTTGCTCGGTCATGGGTTTAGGGTTTAGTTTAGGGGTTTAGGATTTAGGGGTTTAGGGTTTAGGGGGTTTAGGGTTTAGGGTTGTGCTCCTAGGACTACTGTTTGTAATTAATGTCCGAGACTGCTGTCGACTTTATTCGGACATAGACACTGCGCGATGCAGGCGCACGGTCGTAGCCCGCGAGATTCAGCCGCCGCCGCCACCGACGGAGACGATCCAGACACCACCAGAGGCTTGGTCATAGAATGAGCAAACAACCCTAAACCCTAAACCCCTAAACCCCTAAACCCCTAAACCCTAAACCCTAAACCCCTAACCCCTAAACCCCTAAACCCTAAACCCTAAACTAACTAGCAGCTCAGCCTCGGCATGTCTCGGCAATATGCGCAGCAACAACAACAAGAACAGATTTGAAGACAACAACGGCAACAGCACTGCAACTACTAGTAGTTCTGTTTTTAACTCAGCCGTGCGAATCAGCCATCACTACAACAAGCATCTGCAACAGCGTCATCATCATCTCGCCTTCATCGGCATCATCACCATCGTCGCTACCATTACCGCCATCACCACCATCACGGCCGTCATCACCACCACACGCTACCACCATGATGAGCATCATCAGATTCAACTTGTCAACATTGCAACCTACTCGACCTGATCTCCGGCGGCTTCTGACCTCTGAGACGAGGCCCAGGCACCTTCGGAGCAGCCGGTGAGGCGGCCAAGCCAGGACAGATGATGTAATCCTCTGTCTGTCTGCCTGTCTCTCTGTCTGTCTGCCTGTCTGTCTCATGTATGTACGTAGGTAGCTATACGCAGAAATTCATTCAAAAGTACACTCAGCGCATAATGCACATATTAGTGTGCACACACGTAAGAACAGTAACGATACTTACATAAGCACACATATCTGCATGAATGAACACACAGACACACGCATATATATATATATATGTATGTATGTGTGTATATATACATATGTATATATATATATCTGTGTGTGTATATATATACATATATATGTATATATGTATAATTATATATATATACACATGTGTGTGTGTTGTGGCTACAGCCAGATTTACATGCATGCTGCGTATCTTCTCTGAATATGTACATACACATGCATGCATGAATAACAACAGCTGGAACAAGCTCAAGACGTGTTTTGGTATGGAACTAGCCCTTCATGCAGTGCTTTCGCTGGAATAGCATGCTGCCGTGCACACCAGTTTGGATTTCACTTGAAGAGGTCACTCTCTCGCAGATTCTCTATGCTGTAGCAGCGCCACGCAGGAAGCCAGCCACACAATTGCCGAACAGCCTTTGGCAAACAAGCAAACCAAAACAAAAACAAACCAGCCATCGTACCAAAGCCATTCAAAACACAGAAAACAACAACCAAACATCCTCAACAAAAACTTACAGTCAACCCTATGTCAGCGACCTGTCGTAATGCAGGCTACATAAGGCTGCTACTTTTGTTTATATTATGTTTGGTTGTCTGATATGTTTGGGCATTTCAGGATGTTTTGCGTTTTCTGTGCAATTGTTCTGGGAGTTGTGGTTTCCTTAGGTTTCCCCTGTCGTCTTTGTATGTTACCATTGGTTCATCTGGTTCAACTGCTGTACGCATCAGAGATGGTCTTCCTCTTCCATGTCACCTTTTGAGGAACATATATGTAAACTCAGACATGTGGGCCAATCCAGGGGATTTCATGCACCTATACATAATATATATATATATAAACATATATACATATACATATATATATATATGTATATGTAAATACATATATACATATATACATATAAATACATAAATATAAATATAAATATAAATATAAATAAATAAATAAATATATATATGTATACTAT